AAAATTATATATTTTCAGAAGCTAAATGTAATTCAAACTATGTTAGCTGTAAATATGTCAGCTATTTTTCATTTTGACTGATATTACGTTTCAGAAAAAAGTTATCTTATCTACAAACTACATAAAAGAAAAATAAATGCTCAAAAAAGGAGACTTGATTGTAATTTTAAGCTGAGCTAAACTAGACTGGCTAAATCTTCTTGACTTGAACTACTTTTAATGAATTCTCTAGGGTCTATGACGGGGACTAGTTCTCAGTGTGAACACCAGTGTCCACGGGTAACTGTGAGCATCAAAGAACATAGGACATAAGCAGCAGGAGGACGATAAAGGCAGTGTTCTTTTACTTTCCTCACATCAAAAGATGCAATATATATGGACTTGCCACTAGTCTTGTGAGCCAGACATTTTACAGCCAGAAAATTGTACTTGAAGGAAAGACTGATGCCTGATTTAACAATGCTTCAATACATCTTTCACCAGTTCCTTTATAAGTACCTGCATGCATGTTGAATAGACCTGAAGGGTGGGGTTGGCAGTATTTGGCCATAGACTTTTTCTATCTAGGTCAGTATTGATCAGTGGTTAAATATGCCAAGGCCTGGCAAAAGAAAACTAACTTTAAAAACAAACAAGTGAGCTGAAATGTTCAATGTCAGTCACTACAGGCAGAGGATACACCTACTTCACGTAAGATGTATGTATTTTGTCTTTCTTAGTGGGCATTTAAAGTAACTGGCCAGGGAAATTATTAAGTTGTTTTAGTTGTTAAATATTAGTAGTACATACTTCTTTCTAAAATTAACATAGAATTAATTTAAGATATTGTTTGTTTCTTATCAAAACCTAGCCTATATGTGACCTCCTAAATGTGTGGAAGGCAACTGTTACTTGGTTAGCTTCACAAATAGATGTAAACATGGAATTTTTTCAGCAATTATGGTAATGTGGACGTAATATTGCAGGGTCTAGGATATTTCATAAACAGATTATATGAACACATACATTTTTTATTTAAATTCAAAACTGAAAACATATCAAATGTAGAAACTCCTTGGACATATTGCTTCAGAACCATAAGATTTGTTTCAAATCTGGACTGGCCAACTTCCGGCATTAGAGTACACAGTTTTCCAAACCTACAATCACACCACCATCAGGACCCCCTGAGATGCTAACTTAATTGGCAAGATGATCTCTGCAGAGTCAATTATTTCATCGGAAATGTAAACTGTTTTTGTTTCAAGTCATTTCAAGATATTGCCTCTTCCCAAACCAGATGCACATTCCATCAAGAACCCACCTGCTACATCCAACTTGACTGTAAACCAGTAAGCATCTCTAAGCTGTATACTAACTGTTCATCAGTGACCAGGGTCTGGCAGCCTCTACAGACAGGGCTATTCCCTTGACCCCCCCATCAGCACCTGTGCTCCTACGTTGAGAACATGTCCGCCAAAACAACAACTTATCACACCTCCAGAATAGAATCCATCTTTCTAAATAGGAGCGTATGTGACAAGATAATGAATTTGGCTCATCACTCAAGATTTAACCTTCAAACATGCCATTCATGCTGAGAACCTTTTAAAGTCACTGCAAATACCTTTCAGGATTCAATTTCTGCTTTGGTAGAAAGTTTTAATAAACTCAACTAGACTTTAAGAATTTATCTTATTCCAGTCTGAACAAATGGTCCATAATTTGTTATTAGCTTTGCTAACAAGCATTCAAGTAATCATGGTAGCAGCTCAACTTCATTTAAACATAATTTTAATGACAGACAGGACAAAGAAAAAAGATGATCATGGTGTCATTCCACATAGCGATCTTAGCGCTAAGATGATCCGAACTTCCATACTGTAACATATATTTAAACAGGATTTGAACCGGTGAGGTCCTAACACTACAGAAGACAAACCCAGTAACCAGTTCTGTCAAAGTAACACCGAAGCAGTGAGCGAAATAGCCACTGGCCCACTAGCCCCTGTTTGGTAAAAATCCAGTTGGGCCAGTAAGTCTCCACAGTCACTAGCCCAACTGGCTAGTGAATTTTCATAGGGTAATTTTGTAAATATATATTTGTTTTTGATGGTATAATACTATTTTACCTTTGTAAGCTTTTGCTTAGTTTCTACATTCAGATTTGGGGCTAGTTAATTAATTTGTGGGCTAGTAACTTTTAGTCATATAGGCTAACCCGACTGGTTAGCAAAATTTGGAAACTATTTCACACGCTGCACTGAAGTAATTCTGTGGACCAAACAATGAGATATTCACACACATCAAGACTGATAGTCCACTGGTTCAACATGGTTGTGATTTGGACACAGAACTATTTCCACTGAACCTACAACATGACATGTTGAGAAGACTACCCATCAATCCAGATAATCACAATTCACATTGCAGCAATATTTACACTATCATTTATGAGTCCTGACATGGACGTAATCATAAATCTGGATGTATACTGATAAACTTTAAACCAGGAAAATATAATCCAGACTAGGAAATCACAATAACAGATCGTATTTGCTGGTGATATAAATAGCTACAAATACTCTACTCATGATAACTCAAAAGCTTGAATTGATAGAATCAATTTCTGAACCAAATGACATCCAGCAACCTGGTATTTCTAATGCATAGGATGTCAATATCAGAAGTATTGGGCCACTTCATCTACACCACATTTGCTGCAATAAGGACCCTGCTCCCATAAGCACACCCAGAGAAACTTCTACACCACTCTATAAGTGTGAGTGAGTGAGTTTAGTTTCATGCCACTTTTAGCAATATTCCAGCAATATCATGGCGGGGAACACCAGAAATGGGCTTCACACATTGTACCCATGCGGGGAATCGAATTTGTGTCTTCATCGTGACGTACGGACGCTTTAACCACTAGGCTACCCCATGCCCCACTCTGTAAGAAAAACTTTATAAGCCATCAATAGAAAGATTGAAAATGTACATGACAGTCTACATTTACAAGTGTGCATTAATTTATTAACAAAAATTTTGTTTCATGAAAATTGCAGCGCTAATGTGTATATCTTTGCCAAGTAACTATTATTGAATATGTTTTAATTCATCACAAACAAATTTATTCAATACAAATCAATCTCTAAAAAAAAATACCCATTTGTCAATTATCAAAACATGGACTGCATTTTTCAGGAAAGGAAATAAAGCAAGGATATCTTCCCACCTACACCCCGATAGCTTGAAGCAACAAACCACAAAATGTTGGACACTGTTACTAGTAGCCCTTGGGACACCATTAACATCAACAAAACTGGTTTGGGCAAAAGGGCTGGTGCTACTTTTCATCTATGTTCCTTACAGTGATGACAGTAAGCACAGGAAAAAAATACAGGATTGTTCAGGACAGTCTACAGAAAACACAGGGAGACAAAGAACATCTATCCAAACATTTAACAGCGGTAGTGATTTCAAAACTGATCACATTATATTACCAGGAAGCCAAATAGTTTACCAACAATCACTTTTTGTAACATTCTGTCAAAGATAAATAACTGTTACCGGGGTATATCTGATCTGCTTTTTGATGGAATTGTCAAGTAGGTTGGATGTTTCCTCAGAATTCTACGTAATCCATTTTTACATTTGCTGTTTACTCGATATAGCAGACTCTCCGTCAGAAACACAGCAATATATATGTGCATAATGGCATTTTTATGTCACTGTAATGAATCAAATCTATATGACATCACATAACAATGGATTTCTAACTATTCCATGATAGAGGTAATCCGTGACAGAATAGCCCAACATACTGTCCCCTTCTGGTAAAAACAATACCCAGACAATCATACTCATCTACAGCTATTTTGTTAGTCTGCCGTTAACAGCTGATACTTGTAATATGATTAATAATGAGTGACAATCTTGATGTAACATTTCACAAATAATTTTTAAAAGTTAAATCCTATTGGAAACAATATGCCATATCACTATGTTCAAGTGATACCATGGCGCTATAAATGATTAAGAGACCATAGCTAAAGCATTACAAACACAACTCATACATATTAAAACATAGTTTAGAAAAAATAATAAATCTTACTTAACCAATGTATAACAAAAGAATAGCTTCAAAACATTGTGTTTAAACTGACAAAAAGATGAAATTGTTTTGTACCTCTTAGTAAAATAGAAATTTAGCCCTTAATTGGTGCCACTTGTATTGATAAGCTAATTCTGCATACCATCTGTAATCACAGAGCAATCAAAATTAGATCAAAGGGTTAGCAAGGCATTGATGTATATTCAGTCAATCAGCATTGCCTTATACAACTTAAGTATGAGTACTTCGATACAATTAACTAAAACGATATTGATGTTGATGATATGGTGTGGAAAAAAAGTAACTTGAACTCAACGAACTATGAACTTAATTAATTTTCACAACAATAGATTACACAGTTTTTGGGACATATCAAGTGTAATGAATACCACTTTAACTTGATAACTATGGATGACATATCAACTGCAGAGTAACATACAAATGGTTTTGATGTACTCTTACTACAGATAGTGTATAGGCAGTTTTACATGAGAATGAAATTGAAACAGTATATGCCCTGCCTTTCAGGAAGGATGACATGTCTTATTGACGGTAATTCCCAGAATTCAAATACTGTGTAAAATGTGGCGTAATGACATGATTCATTTACATGGGAAACACAATGAAACGAAAAGTGATATATTTTCATCACTTGATACTGCGAGAGACGAACCTCAAACCGTCTGTCCTCAGCATGCCATGTGTTAAGACCATGTGTTGTTTACAAACAGAAAATCAATATGTCAAACCCATAAAATCGTCTCTTCACCAACTTAAAAGCATAGCGGCGGTGACAAATAATACAAGCTAAATAAAATATACGAAAACATACAGATATCGTCAAATGTCATTGATGCGCTCAAGGGTCACTTTACCAAACGAGCCTTTCGACTGGCAAATGTCTTACCTTTTCGACCACTTGTTAGATTGATGGCCAAACGGCTTCTTGAACAATGTACCATGTATTTGAATCCGTGACGCCCAGTCGCAAACTGGCTGCCTTGAAATTTCTGGCATATTGTTCATATCAGTCAGTAAGTCCTGATATTAAACCATGTCGTTCATATAATCATTAAATGAACAGGTCCAACTTTCCGCATCCCATCACTGTGTTCACACTTCCCCGTTTGATAGCTCCACCTAGCGGCGAAAGGTAAAACTACTATCTTGTCAACGTATTGTGCTTAAACCGATTTAATATATGTATTATGGTGTGTATCGATAATATCGATCATTTCGTTTGCTTTATTATACGTATGTACATACGCACCGTTTTGTACCTATATCAAATTCATCAAAACTATCATTAGTGCTAGTTTGTGATATCGATTTAACATGTGACTGTAGTTAGTTGTTGTATTGCCACTCATGGACACAAATCGACCTCGGGGCGTGGTTTACAAATTGACAAAGGCGTGGCCTGTCAAGTTTAATCACACATTGACTTTCACACGTAAAATCTACACTGAATTGCCGGTTAGGTGGACTTAAGTAACTTTGGGCTCTAGCTTTTTGGTTTTTGTTCAGTGCAAACCTTGTCACTTCTTTCAAGAAGTACGTTTCAATATTACGAATGCGTGCGTATGCAACGTTCATAGAATTATAATGTTGACTTTTTAGAGCTTGGAGACTGTGTAATAGCAGTTACAAAATATCCAATGTACATAGAATTTTGATAAGTCATTTTTTTGTTATTTTGCTTGGACCATATAAGTTACTTAAAGATATATGTAGCTATTTGTTCAGGCGTAATCACGAATTATTTTGAATGTATATAAGACAGGATACTTTATATCATTAAAGTGAATGAGTTAAAGCAGAGACCTGGGCCTAGATTTTCGAAGCTCTCTTAGCGCTAAGATAGTCGTAAGTTAATGTTAATGTATGGCACTTACGACTATCTTAGCGCTAAGAGCGCTTCGAAAATCTAGGACCATATTATTATATGGTCTCTGGTTACAGTTTATAGTAACATATATCCCTGAAGGCAAACATAACTGTTAAAGGATAGAGTACGGCACGGCCAACAAAACATTGCAAGCTCACATTGATAGTCTTATAAAACAATATATAGATTTTTATAATAGAAAAGGAACAAAGATATCCAAATATTAGCTAAGGCACCCGATACAGACATATTTTAGGAGTTTTGTCCCTTTGATGGAAAATATTTCCTAATCTATGATCGATGATATAAAACTTACTCATTAATTTTACCCATACCAAATCTGTTTCTTATACTTTAAGGAAACATTCACGTTTAGTGTATGTTCTGTTGAAATAAGTGCCTAGGATGGACTTTACAAATAGCAAACCGCCTTCAGCTGTAGGAGTGACGTAGTCAGAGGCTCTCACATCACAGGAATAACATTATCGTGATCCACGGATTACACGGGCCCGTTGCATCATTGTCTATTTCCGCCAACTCTGTTATGTAAATAGCATGTCACTTAAGTGTTATAATTCATTACCACGTGTAACATCTGAGGACTTTTAAAAGAGCCTGTGGCCGTCTCCACGACCAAATCGCCGTCCTGGCATTTAATATTGGACTCGCGTTGTTATAATACACAACCTTCACCTTCACTAGTATCGGATACGAATATTGGCGTACAACATACGCGTTCAAAAGTATTGGACAGAAGTTATCGTACAACAAACGTGTTTAAAAGTATTGGACACAACTTATCGTACAACAAACGTGTTTAAAAGTATTGGACACAACTTATCGTACAACATACGCGTTCAAAAGTATTGGATACAAGTTATCGTACAGCACACGCGTTCAAAAGTATTGGACACAAGTTATCGTACAACATACGCGTTTAAAAGTATTGGGTACAAGTTATCGTACAACATATGCGTTCAAAAGTATTGGACACAAGTTATCGTACAACAAACGTGTTTAAAAGTATTGGATACAAGTTATCGTATACAGCACAAGTGTTCAAATGTACTGGATACAAGGTATCGTACAATATACGCGTTCAAAGTATTGGATACAACTTATCGTACAACATACGCGTTCAAAAGTATTGGATAGAAGTTATCGTGTAACATACGCGTTAAAAGTATTGGATACAAGTTATCGTACAACATACGCGTTCAAAAGTGTTGGATACAAGGTATCGTATAATATATGCGTTCAAAAGTATTGGACACAACTTATCGTACAACATACGCGTTCAAAAGTATTGGAGGTCCCTGCCTGGCGCTCGGCATTAATGGGTACAACAAGGACTGGTCGGCTCGGAGTCAGTATAATATGTGTGAGTGGGGTATTCATGCTTCAATGCAGCATGGTATCTCAGTGGGCTAGCACTATAAAACCAGTAGTATAAGTCTGGGCTAGTACAAGCAGCCGCACATAGATATACACACGCATGCACGTCGTCATATGAGCGAAATATTCTGAAGCACGACGTTAAACCCAATTTCATCTCACCTCAAAAGTATTGGATAGAAGTCATCGTGCAACATACGCGTTCAAATTTGTTATCGTACAACATACGCGTCCAAAAGTATCGGACACAAGTTGTGTTACAACATACGAGTTCAAAAGTATTGTTATCGTACAACATACGAGTTCAAAAGTATTGGACACAAGTTATTACACAACGTGAAAATAATAACAACAATATCAGTGAAGTATGCACTCATTTGTTCCTAGTGTTCAAGAATAACTGCACCCAGAACTACAGTTAGCTGCTAACAAAATTTGAAAAGACCGATTGCAACAAGAAGTCCATATATTGATTTGAAAAGAAAAAAAAGACCATGGTAACCATGTGCTCTTTGACTGGGCCAGGCTCATGCTGCAGTTCGCACGAGGTTGGGTATATCATTGAAAATGACTAAAGACCACACTGATGTCAATGCCCTCAATTCTTTATTCTCATAAAGTTATATGACGTCAGTCACCTTGGTGGTACAAAAATCTGAGCATATATTGATATTGTAAACATATATACAAATACAAATTAAAATTCAAGATGGAAGTAAACAACATATTAACATTTTTTTCTGACAAGAGATGATAGATGTAGGATATATTTTGATAGATTTAATATGTCTCGAGATGATTTTACAGATAATATTTTCGTGAACTTTGTTTCATTGGGAAAAGAGGTTAGATGGGAGGGTAAATATTGTTTCCTCAAAGTATCTAATGCTTTGCAATAAAAAATATAGTGGTATTCATCTGCGATGCTTTTAGAAGTGCATAGTTGACACGTTCTCTCGTCCCTTGGAATATTATACCAGCGGCCCGTCTCAATAGGTAAACTATGGTGTACATGTGGTGTAACGATTCATCGATAGTGTCGATATTTGCATCGTCAACTACGCGATACGAGTGCATCGATACAAAACACATTTAGGCAATATATCAGGATATTTATATCGCAAAGGTCCATGATACATCGATGTATCGTCACAAGAGATCATATATCCGGATTCAACTTAATACTACTTAAATTTGTAAGGAGTATTGCATTAGGAATAGGAAAGGAGTCTCTTTGAAATTCTTCTGAATTTTAAAAACAAATTGAACCTTAAAGCAATTTGTTTGTGTCTGTTATCTTTGTTACATGAACAAAGGAGTTGGTGTATAAGTCAAAGAGTGTGAACATTTTACAAACTCTGTGAACTGTAAAATACTTGTCTTCAAGTAATTGAAATACGCAGATTTGGTTTATTTGTTTGACAAATAACACCATTTATTAACAACTACGAACGATGTCTTAGTTTTGTTTAGAAAGAGAAGTTAAAATTTGGAAAGCAGACTTGAGAGTTTTTTTTCAGTGATTCTGAATTCTGATATAAATTACATTGAATTGTTTGTGGAAGCATTGGTGTAGAATCACAACTTCCTAAGGGAAACTTCACTTTGAAATTTATATATATTAGTTCAAGACATACTGGATATGTTTGTCTGTACTTTCTTAAGCATTAAATGCTGAAACTTTATTCGATGAACAGCTTTTTAAGTGTGTGTGAATGTATAACAAATACAATTTCAGTCATTATATCTACCATATCTGTTCTGTTATTAGAAATTGTAAAGTATTGGGATACGTATCGTATCGCTACCATTGTATCGTGATGATAATCGTCTCGCAGGTTCCTGCCAATACTTTCATGATGGTCTCGCCTCATTAAACTGGTATCGGGATATATCGTCTCGCCAATTAGGCCACGATACACAGCTCTAATGTCCACAGTTATAACGAAGACAATGTCGAAAATGGAATATGAACATGTCTACAAAAGAACCTTTGTTATTTTTATTAATATAATAAATCTAATGTCTGATTTTTAAAGCCACGTCTGATATAAAATAAGTATGACTCCCACTTTTTTTTTTACTATAAAAATGTCCCATTGCAAATAGATCACAGATGTGAAGACTGCAATTTCACATACATACACGCACAGTTCGTGATATTACTGAGTTGAATCTAAAATTAACACGAGACTAACTCATCACCCACTGGCGTTTGAATGTTTTCCTGGCGTGTTTGAAGTGCGTAGTCATTTAGGAGTTGCCTCCCTTTGGTTTGGGTATTTTACGTGTGGTTGTCGTAGTAATTGATGTTTCATTCACTGTGACGTCATTTGTACTGGGGCAAAAATACCATATATGTAAACGTCTTGAACACTATGACTTGTTAAGTCAATAAAACGGAAATATATGTATCGTTTGGGGATCTAGAGAAAGTCAGAATTGCATAATAACGCAATTTGCCACGTGGTGCTTTTTGGCATTATTCTGTATTTTTGTTGAGAATTATTCTTCGTGAGCAGATTTTACTTCGTCACAAGTTTGGAGGAAATTTCCGTCTGTAAATGTAGGTCAGTACTTTTCACTTATATATTTCCAACAAACAAACCCAACGCCGAAGTAGCAGTGTCTTTTAAAGAAAACCACTGTAAACAAAAATAAATAAATAAACAATCAATGATGATTAGGTGCCTCTTTCTTAGAGTGTAGGTTCGAATCCAGGATGGGACACAACCCCCAAAAGTACTTTACTGAGAAAATGTAAACCCTAACATAACATTATTTCATTTGACCACTTTTTAAAAGACATTGTGTATCCAATGACTAATTAAGTTCTTATCT